GTTAATAATTAATATCAAGAGCTCACGGGAAACCGAATCCGAAGAATTCCAGTGGAAAATTAACGAGGAGATCTGTCCACGGCCACATTTTGTGTTTGAAATATCTATGGCGACATTTGGAGCCGTCCAGTATCAGCTCGCCGTGCCTACTTATGTAGCCCTGTAACACAATACTTTTGAAACCTTCAGGCCCTATTAGTTACCTATTGTAAAACTAATCTAACTATCGTGTTTGATATAGGTTCGTTTATAAATAGTGACTCAATTCATAATGTGCAGTACGCCATAATCATAATAACCAGTGTATAAGTGGCCTCTTTTCATAAGGAGAAGGTTTGAGCATTAATCACCGCGCATGCTCAATGCGGATTAGTTACTGCGTACGGGTGGAGACGCAATAATATCCAGTTAATAATATTTACACAAATATTGCGTTTTGGAAAGAATTATTTGTACGTGAAGTTATGTTCACTTCAAACAAAAATAGTTCTTTATAGATAACCAGAGAATTCATAACTCAGCTGAATAATTTTCGGTTCATAAATATTGCAATATTTGTAACAAATAATCTCTGAAAAAATATACCACTCCCTCACCTGATGCATACTAAGATAGACTTTGCAATAGAAGTAGATGTCCAAAAGCGCATGTATCCAGAATAGTATGGCACAATCGTTCAAGGTCACCAGGTCATACAGACCCACTACATAGTGTATCGTCACTGCTATACACGTCACGTAGCCGTAACTCTGCAAATAGTTATTAAATATAATAGATAGATCTATACGGAGCCGCGGAAAACCTAGCCGGTAACTAACCGAGGCTCCGGCTCGAAGTGCATGAGTAGCAACGGGGTAGTTTTTACTCAGTAAGAGTCTGACACTCCCTCCCGCCTCACACAGGCGGGAGAAGTGATTCAATGATTTTCCCTCCTTAAAAAATAGATCGATAGGTAGATGGATATATGCTTTATTGTACACCATTTAAACAGAGTATGTGTCTAATTTGAATTTGTTTTTACGTTAACGTGGTCAGAAATTCACCACGTTTAGCCCCCTGATTGGTTGGTTAACTTAAAAGCTAGCCAATCATAGCGTTGAACGTCATACATGTGTCGATTGCGTTAAGCAACGCACACTGATGATAGTAAAAGTGGTGAATGCCATCCAGAGATACCAGAGGAATGAATTGAAGTGTTATCGGCTTTTTGTAGTAGGAAGTAATAGCTCCCGGTAACATGAATGTATAACTTTCATATCAAATGGAAATATCATTTTTGATACATCATTAATCATTTAAAAAGTTAGGATAGTACCTAATACTATTATTTTGATGAAAACCACTCTAGTTAATGTTTACATTTTGATCAAACGTGAAGCATTTCTCGTTGGTGACATGTAATAAGGCGCCAAAGTAGCACATAAAATATGGGCTTCCTAAGTATATTGTTTCCAGAAAAGCCACGCTACAATAAGCTGTGATTCAACAATTACCTGTTATAAGGAAAGTTTCATAAATTTTAGTGTCATGTTATAAAAAAGTAAAAAATAAGACCAATCAAGATAATTGTACTTATACTGGTGAATATCCACATGCAATCTATCAAATATCTATAAAAATATTAATACAGGCGCGCTTTATTTAAGCTTTAAATAAATTCAACCACACAGAAAAATTGCAACATAAATTCGGTTCAACACTCTTAAGTCCATCTATCGCACTCCATACCCAAACGCCGGAGACAAATAAATATCCAGTTCTCCAACCACAAGTGCTCATTACGACCGTATCAATTTACCTGAAACATGAGCGTTCCGGGCCTCAGCAGATTAGAGGCGTGTGAGTAACTGTGATACGTGGACACACTGGCTGACGACTTCGATTGGCTCAGGTTAGACTGTGACGCGCTGCTCATCGGTAGTGACCCTGCGGATTAGGAACACGATAGTTTGATGACAGCCCTGTTTGAACGAGGAAAATGCTGCCTTTAGTTGGACTGTTATCTTAGTAAAACGACACTCTTGTTCACGTAATGGTATAGATACCTAGAAAAGATTTGCTGTGAATCTTTTTATGTTGTGCTAAGGGTCTTAATACGTGTATCAAGTGGAACTGTGGGAATGTGTTGGTATTATCCAGTTTTGTTGTCTTTGCCTTTACTGCTGTCTACTAGATTACTATGAGACAAAGATAGTGGTCAATATTTAATTAACTTTCATGATTCTTCTTTTAAATGTTTTTTTTTATATCGACAATTGAAAATCACGGCATATATTCTACGTTAGGCATATATATTATGTTCCACTTATTATCCTCTATTCTTGCGAGTAACGATAAGTGAATGATAAAGTCATGTCAATGTTTATTTTATTAAACCATCTCACATAAAACTAACCTGACAAGTCAAATCTACTGGAACCACTCTTCGAATCACCTCCTGATTCCATAGACATCATGTCAAAAGTCGATTCGTCTGTGAAAAAAGGGTTATTTGTCATCAGACTATAGATTCTTATCGATTTAACCCTTCTCAGTCAGGGCAATAATGATAAAAGCTAGTAGCAGAAGTTATTAATCCCTTCAGTCCACTCACAATTTTACACTTAGGTACATACAAAAACTTTCATCCTCTTCTTTTTCGATACAAATTTTACCAACTTTTACCTTGTAAAAGTGAATTGGCTCCACTTATAAACTTAATTAACATATTGTGCGGTTTCGAAGAGAAATCTTACAATTACCAGACTATAGAGAGGTTTTTTTCTAAAAGTATTTTCTCATTACAAGGGACTGAATACGTTTTCTAATGAAATAAACATTATCTTTTTACGTAGTAAAAAAAACAAAACACGTAAGGAAAAAGTCGGTTAAAATTAGAAATTCTAATTGAAGAATCTCAGAAATAGGAATAGTAAGTAACATTTCGTCTGATACAGCGAAAGTTTTGAAACTGGATTACGGATTACAGTAATCTATAAATTGTAAGTCTCACCTTCGGAGGAGTCGTCGTCATCATTCTCCATATTAATAGGCAAGATATAATCTCGAGACATCTCAAAAGCCTTGTTCAAAGGCTCATGAATCTTGGGGTAATATTTGATCAAGTTGAAGAAAGTCACACTGGGTATAACTAATAAATCAAGGCTCCGACTCGCATAGATCGTTACTTCCGAACATGATATTGGTTGCTGAAAATTTTATGGAAATATTTTATATTTTATTTATTTAAACTGAAGTTTATGTTTGATTTATTTATAGTTTACTCTAATATACACATGCACATTAGATGATTTATACGTGGTATAGAGAAAGATGAAGTTACAGTTAAAACTTATTCGACCAGATATTTGAACACACAATCCTTGACTGACCACTCGCAAGAAAGACTAACAACACAATACGCAACCACCGTCAAACAAAATCTGATTAACGAATTACTAAGACCCAACATTAAAAAAATCATTTAGGTAACGCTACAAATAAATAAATGGTTTAAAACATACATAAGTAAATCTGTTAATTACACAAAACAATTACTCACGCCTGTGAAATTACCGAACATTCCACCTGGGCCCATACACGTTATCATTTCATTGTATGACGTCAGAACATCTACCTGAAATTCACACATACATGTAAATACAACAATAAATAGTATACTCTACTAAAGCAGTAGTTCCCAACTGGTGGTCCGCAGAATACACACGACACGAAAAAGAAAATACACAAGAGAATATCGCGCGAACAAAGCTCGAATTAAACTTATGTGAAAGGAGACAACTGAGGGGAGCAAATGATTTCAATAATCCAAGTCACTATTTTTATCAGAATGTGAAATGTTAGTATGACGACAAAAACCAATAGTAATAGTAGTCCTTAACCTAACAGGAATGATGTAAAAAAGGACCTTGATCAAGAAAAGGTTGGGAGTCCCTGCTCTAAAGAATGATGGAGCTTGATATAGGAACAAAATTAAACGATACATGTTTCTATTCCAAGTCCCTAATATGAGTATCTATTCAAAGAATGTATTGTCATAGATATAGGGGCAGGACCCCATAGTATATTACTTGGTATATCCTTATTTCTCTTTCCATGTTTACAATCCAAACGTACTGAGTTGTGCAAAAACGGAATAATCAAAAAACCTTCCGTTTTGTTCCTGTTCAGTGATTCGTTATGAAGGGTGGAAGTGACACTGTAGCTAAATGCATAGAATATACGATTCTATATAAAAAAGCTAGCGTTGAAACAAAGTCGAATAGTTTTATTTTGAACTTTCAATAATTGTGCAATGAAATGTGAACGTTTAATTAAAGTTTGTTTCTTTTCACAATACTTTATTCGTTTGAAATAGAGCAACAAATGCAAACTCGTTTCCGCAGCCATTACTTCTCACATGGGTTTTCGAATCAATGAAGAATATTTATTTAATAAATAAATCATTAGTAAATTAATGACGGAAATCTTTCTAAGTAACCTATATGACACATATTTAATTAAACACTAAAATTCATTAGAACGTAGCTCATGCTTAAGTCTACAATCATATACTCAACGTCGTAGTTTAATAATATAGGTACTCAGACTAAGTTACAGTGTGACTTCCATCTTGTATAACTTTGGGATACATCCCGTCCTCGATCATTTACCTCGAGCGATATTTGACTTGAAAGATTGACTGCGAACATGGACTTGTATCGTAATAAAAACGTCTATGAATATAAAAAAGATATGCATAACTTCATTCATTTCTGGGAAAACTTGATAAACATAAAATGTTGGTCAATATATATTTACAGGGGTCATGATTGCTGACATTAATACATTAAATAAAGAAGACCGAAAATATTTAATAACATAATTCTTCTTTAGATAAATATCATTTGCGATGAAAAACCCAAGCTAGAAAAGATAGGCAAAAAAGATCTGACCTTACCTTGCCACGATAAATAATGAAGATATAGGGTTGTATATCCCTACATTGTATGACAGTATCACCCCTGAGAAAGTACATTTCGTGTAGGTGCTGAGTGATGACCCTGATGAATGATCTCTCGACTTTGCCGAACAAAGGTACCTCGCGCAGTGCTCGTTCGTACATGAACACTAGCGTGTCTTCCATCAAAGCCGAGTTTAAGTGACGACATATTCTCTATTGATTAAAAAAGAAAATACATATTATAGAAGTATACAATAGGTATTTAGGATTTTATTGTCTTACTGGTGGTTTCTCTGTCCTATCCTAGATTACATTTTATAATATAAGGATAATAGAAGGTAGTATTACCAGTGTACAATAAATATTTACTACGTTAGAGAGCCAAACTGGTGGGTACAGGGCTCATTTGACCACCATATAAATAGAGGTACACAAATATTCTACTTACGAAATGATGTAGAATTGAATTAACGAAAATCGCGAGTTACCCACGTGAATATACTGAGCGCATACTCGCTTCGGCGCCATGACGTCGCCGTGACCGCGCACGCTACTCATGAGGAAGAACCTCTCTGTTGTTCGAAACTAGTAGAGCTTTTCTCAGTATATTCACGTGAGTAACCCGCGATTTTAGTTAATTTAGTATGTCTCACGATAGTTGTAATAAAAACAGATGTAGAATTGATTTACATAGTTCTATATCAGAACAAAGCCGCAACTAAAAGTGACTAATATACCAACAATACAATAACTAAATAAATATATTAGTCAATAACAACGACGAAGCGACTTAATTACAAACAACCCGTCAAATGACCACAGTTCAACATAATAAGCTCTGTAAAGACCACAACAAAGGGACAGGACAGGGTAGATTATTCAAGTATTAATTAAATAATATATCATCGTGACCCAGGTCCTAATTCAGTAACAAAATGATGAAGCGACATTGCTACCCGCACCTGTCACCACTGAATGCCACCTGCGGTCACCAACTGATAGTGAATCGATATAATGTGGTCGACTCAGCACTCGTATTATTAGAAATACACGTATTATATATTTCTCCTGACTTGGCAATAGCAGCATTGAACTTTCTCTCTGTTCAGCACATTTTTTAATCAAAATGTATCGTGCACAATATCAAAATCAAAGGGACAGCACCCTTTTTGTGCAGGAACGTGAGAAAAATTCAGTAGATATTGAAACAAACACATACATAACAATGTTTTACCACAGCCCCAGTCAGCGTTTCACCAGAATTAATGTACGTTTGTGTGAAAAGTGCATAACGCAGTATTTTACGACTACGTGACCAGTGGAATACTTGTTATTCAACGTTCACAATTTTGTAAAACATTATATTTGTAATACATTGTGAAATAGTACTCGTTACTATTGCTTTATCCGTACATGGAGTCTAGACTTTCCATTTACTTGCAGTAAACAATAATTTTCTAGTTACAAAATATTTTTTGGCTACACTGTAAAGTTTAGTTTACCTGTGGATTACTGCCGTTGGTTCGTTTCCACACATATTCGAAATATTTCAACGTTTTCACCGTCAACATAGGGTCCACGTTCTCTTGGTACAGAAAGTTGGCTAGATCCTTTGTTTTTTCCTATAAAACAAACGAGGACTGAGCTCGTTAAAACTAATATAATTACTGTACTGGAACTGCAGAGTCGTAATATTTTTAATGACGGAACTTTAGCCGTAATACGTGGCGCTAGACTACTGTATGGTCTATCTCGGCTGTTAATTAGATTTTGTTCATTGTTACATTCTATTCCATTTTTAAAACCATCTTTGAAACCAGTACGAGCACGTCACGGCCGGGTTGCCTATGTTCTAAATAAATAACATTTTTCCTGTTGGCAACTGTTTGATAATAGCTTATTGATTTCCTTTTATGTTCGTTTTATTAACTTTATAGATATTTGATCGGCTATGAAGACAATTGGAACATACAACATATTAAAGTAACAGTAATTTGAAATGAATTTCTTCGTAAACATTTCTGCTTTTTGTACTAATTGGCTTATCTTGAGGGCGTTCTATTGAATGTTGAGAAAAAATATTTTATTTTCACTTGCTCAGTGAAAGGGCAAATATAATGGGGTGGTTTGGAATGGCTTTCACATTTCTGTGGCTGTAAGTGGCATCCTAAAGGCGATAACTTTTTATCGCCTTTGATACTAACAACAGCGGTTGCCTGTTAATGTTCCACTAGGCGTACTTTAGCGAAACTTACCCTCGGAGGGTGATAACGGTGATAACAGCTTCATACACCGACCTCCGTATTAATTATTATGTTCAGTTCATATCAATTATAGTAAAAATGAGAACAACACGCGAAAGTTAATTGTTCGTAACCAGAGGCGAAAGTGGTCATACCACACTGTTCGTTTTATTATTTTAAACATCAATTAAATTTGTTGACATCGTTATGCGGAGGTTTTTCATAAATTTAAGCTTTCCCCCAATTTCATGAGGTGGACTATGCTTTTAAACGTATTATTTTAATTTTCTTTCCATAATGAAGCAACAACAACTCGTTTAAAAAGAAATTTTACAAAATAATTTGTTAAGAAAAAACTGACCAAACAGTTTCGTAGCAAACGCGTAGCTCGTAGCAGTCATGCCTACTACGTATGCTACGCCGGACGTAGAGGGGTGATAAAATCTTCTTCCCTTATCGCAAACTATTTGGGGTCGGCACAATATGTGTTTCTTTCCGTACTAACACTGAGTCGTCCTGTTACAAACTCCGTGGGGCAATAAAGTGATGAGTTTGGTCTTTGATATAATACAATACGTTCGATTGTACGCTGCATTATATCGTGATTGTTATAATATCAATCTTATATTTTAGCTCATATGGCTTAATATCAATAAATACCTAATAGATAAATCTTCGATAAGTTAAAGAGAAAAGTTTAATATTTTTTAAATAAATACTAACATTATGTTCCAATAACGCGTGCGCAGCGGCAGTCCTAGTGGAGGCAACGTATCCAAACATGAAGGCGAAGTAGAGGAACCCAGCGAGCTGCAGAACCATCATCATCCAGAGGTCTACAGAACTCGTCATATTCACAGGCGGACAACCCAAACCTGTAACACATATCCGATGACGAATAGCGACAACTCCAAAGATATTACAAGCAATACAATATTCGTAACCCGTATACAATTAGGTAAGACAGGTACTCACCCACAAATAACTCGAAAACCCAATAGAAAGTGTACAGGTATTCCATGAATGCACCTGTTATACATAAACATTAATACTATTTACATATATTAAGAATTATTCACTAAAATCTATGTTTATATAATGTGGTGTGTGACACCATAGTAGATACAATATAAAAAAAGACTAAAGAAGGAATTTTTAAATAATATATGTTAGATACATTAGTATTAAAAAAAATTAAAGTTAATTGTTCTAGACACAAGAAAAAAAAACTAAAAATAATATGTATTCATTAATAGTATAATATTTATATAGATTAATAGTAGTTATAAGTAACATTATTGTCTAATATAAGAGCGCCACTTTGGCGATTTTTGATGTAGGTATAAGCTAATTTATGTATAATTTTTGTGAATAAATACGTTAAAAAAAATATAGAACAGTGAGTAAGAGATTATAAGTTGTAAAAGAGATAACAGTTGTATTATGATTATTTCAGTTGTAAGAAAAATCATATGAATTCCAAAATGTTAACTTGAATCGTAAAATGTTTAAATATTGTCAACAGTGAGAATATTTTAAGAAATATTTATATTATATGTAGTTTTAATGATAAAAAATATAAATTTATTTATTTAATTTATTTATTCTTCACAAAACAACTGTGAATGGTGGACTTAATGCCTTAAGGCAGTACAGTCAACCATAGGGAAGTACAGTGAAATGAAGTCAGTCAAAAAAATGTTATGTAATATGTATACTACACACATAAATATCTACCTATTAGAATAAATATATTAATACAATATTTTACAAATCTGTATAGACATACATTTTTTTTCGAGAAGAACGGGGAGGTGTCTCACACACTACATAAAACTTTGTTACTGTCTGACTGATAGACAACGCACAGCCGAAACTACTGGATCCAGAAAGCTCCAACTTAGTATATACAATGAAATTGATTTCGTTTTCATCCCGCGGCAAAACAACTTCCTATGGATTTCTTTCGGTGTATAAAGTAAAAAGAAAGAACTATTTTTTTTAAGGGGGGAAAATCCTCGAATGACTGCACCCGCCTGGGTGAAGCAGGAGGGAGTGTCAGACTGTTACTGACTAAAAACCACCCCGTTCCTACTCCTGCACGTCGAGCCGCGGTAACCTGTTAGGTTCTCCGCGACAAACTAAGAACTATAGATGTAAAATTTATTTAGTTAAAAAAAAAAACATGACAATGAAACACTAGACGTAAATTAGTAGGAACTATTCGCATCGCACGTGTCATCCGACTAGAAATAACTCTTTGAGAATTAGATGGCGTGATGTTTTGATAATGTACAACGAGTTCGTATGCGCTTTCGAAGTTTGTTTTTTGCAATGGTACACCAGTTTTTTTTTTTTGTTTTACCATGACAGAACCATTTTACTACGGGACGAAAACGAAATAGGTTTCACAATGCGTTTCATGAGGTGTTTAAAGACGTACTAATAGAATATTTTCTTAAATTTTCAGAGGAACAATAAAAATAACAATCACTTATGTATGTATATGAAATCGCGACAGAAAACTAGTCTTTGATAATAACACATTACTTACGCGTAGGCTCATTCGTATTACTAGAAACGATAAGAATCTTTGTGCAATTCACGAATATGTATGGCGAATTAGCATTAGGTAGGTAAGGCTCGCAGGCGTTCACCAAAATGAATGCGGTAGCTAAATTGACGATAGTTACTGCTATCGGTAGGAACTTGAGCAGTACAACAGCAGGATTTGTTCGCATTATATCACTCTCCCAGTACGAGAAAGCACCGGTTACTCTAGATACCTGAACAATAGAGAACACTGAATACTATTGTGTGAACATCTGTCTATCTAGATACGATTAGATATAGCCTTTTGTTGTTGTTCTGTTCTTTTGTGTTCAGCCTTTTTCCAGGCTTTTTCTGGACGCGTGAGTATCTTTGTTCTAAGTTAATATTTTACATGAGGAGACTAAACATTTTTTGGTCGTTTGAGATTTTCATATTGCCTGCCTATCATTACCTACTAATTTGTTCCCATAGAATTAATTATACATAGTCAGTGTAACAACCTACATTGGTTGTCATTGTATATCCTAATCATTGTCCATCCTTATCACGTCGTAAATCTAATAAAATTCTGAATCTCAAAATCTATTATTTTACTACTTCATCCATCACATATTTTATGTTTAATACACTACTGTTTGTCGAAAAAATATATGAAGGACATAGGTACCTATGCTGTAAACAAACATCAAATAACTCAATTTCCACTTACCAAAAGCATTCGATTGAGTCTATAAATATCCATATCAGTATTATCATTTACTATTTGGAACTGAAACAAAAACGCATCAAATATAGATTCACTAACATCGACTTACTAAGAAAAAAAAAACAAAATTAAGGCTAAGAACTCACAGCGCGATTTTCTTCCGCGCCCGTTGTGATTGCGGACCCGCAGTCTTTTTAGAAAACAGATATGTAGGTATGTAAAAAATCAAATAAATTGTTACGGCGCGTTTTACGCTCGCGGCGTTTGCGGCTCCCGCTGCACCGGGGCGGGCGGGCAATCGGAATGGGACGGCCGGTCTGGAACTTAAAAGATTGCTTAACCGCCCGCCTGTCTTACGATAATCAACCACCAAGTTTGCGGGCTATAATCGGAACCACGGCGGCTGCGGGACCGCAGAAAAGTGCAGTCCTGTGAGATTTGAACATTCCGCCTCCATTCCGCCACTACGGCAGGCGCGGGAGAAGATCGCGCCGTGAGTCCTTAGTCCAAATGCAATGCAATGTACTTACAACTTCTTCGAATGGGAAAATGCTGATAATATCGAGTAAGAAGGCGTTCTTCAAATATCTAGACACTGTTAATAATGGGTGTGTAACAAGAAGGGAATTCTCATTATAGTATGCCACATACGCCATTATCACTATGTCTATGTACAGAATTACATCACACCAATTGTATGCACCACTGTTCTTGTGTTGTTTTGACTGAAAATATAGGTAATGTAGGTACTATCAGATATAATTTTTTTATATTGATACTCTTGGCACATTATGTTGGCAGTAATAAGAATTATATAAAATTTAATAAGTTTATAAAACTATCAATTGGCTAAGATAGTTTATTATTCTGTTTTATACAATACTAGCTGTTGCCCCCGACTTCGTTCGCGTAGATTATGATTCCTGTTTTATCCCATGGCATAGGCATTTAATCGGGATAGAAAGTATCCTATCACCTAAGTCAGCCCATACCCTGCCTGTATACGATATTTTATCAAAATCCGTTCAGTAGTTTAGCGTGATCAAAAACACAAACATCTAAACATACAAACAAATAAAATTTCACGTTTATAAGATCACTAGATAGTTTCTCGTCACTATATACGCCAATATTTAGTCGTGAGATCTTACGATCTACATGACATTTGCTAGTTAATAAGGTAACTTTAACCTCAGTCACCACTAATGAGCCCAACGTAACATCCCAAAAAGGTTTCAACATTAAAATAACAAACTATAATAAGAACTCAAACAGAAACGACACATACAACTAAATATTACTTCATATAGTGGAACAGTAACATAATAAAACGTGGAAACTTACAGCAATATCGTACGGTACAGCGAATATGTAAAACACGGCGACAACGAAGCGAACAGCGCACCAGAACTTCAGGAACAATCCATGGGGAGTAATGCATCCTGGCATGAAGATGTACCTAACGTGTCTGCACACGGGATATCAGGTAACAAACATGAATCATGTTTTAAATTACATGCTAAGAATAACTAAAGTTTAAACTGTTCTTACGATTGTTTGTACACGCGGCTACACATCGAGCTTTACATAACCACTATAAACTGAACGTTAAATGTGCGGAAAGATGATGGCGACGCGACACCAGGATAAACTGGTTTTATATAGATTGATGTGTGGCCGTGTGTACAGGATCGGATATACAATTTGTTAATATTTTTATAAATTACAAGATATGACATGACATTATTGTCATATCAAGTCAATGATGAAGACTTCAAGATGTTATATGATGATAATATCAAGTAAATTATGAAATTATTCACAAATATAATATTAGTGTGACAATGATGAAATGTTCATCATTGACTTGACATCACTATATATATAATAGGACAATGAAGATTTTATCATTGTCATATCAGTCACAAGGAAGAAAGAAAAGCAGTTTATTTGACCCGTTACCAAATACATAATCACGAAACTATGGTTAAAAAATATAGTGAAAACCAAAATGCCGTGAGCCGAACACAAGCTCGAGACACGGCTGATATTCTGCACCAGCTCGTAATAACAATAATAACAAGGTGCCCATTCTTAAACACAGATCGCTTCCAATATCACCGTTGACATCGACCTTTATCAGGTCGTCAGTGCAAGTGCCATCTATCCAGTTATCGCCTTTTATAAAATCAGGGCCTTTAGCCAAACGCAACTTTAGCGCTTGTCTACAGTGAGAGTAGAAATCAAAATGTATGGGGATGATACTGACAAGTGTCAAAATTTACGTCAATTCCATACAAATTGGTTTTCTATTCTACATGTAGACAAGCGCTAAATGGCATTTGGCTACAGCTTCAGAATTCTAAATGAAAATAAACTTTTATAAAAAATAAGATTTTGCTTTGTTTAAACCTTTTTATTCCTCTCATGAACCTTTTAACAAATGTTAAATGCCGCGCCTGTTCGTTCGAACAATGCATTCAGATTTTTGCACTTTTATCCATGAATCCATCCATGAATGGGTCGTTGTTTTCGAAATATCCCAAACAAATTCGATTTTACGAAGCATTATCCGAATCCATATTTACCTACTACTAAAATAAGTTTTAATATTCA